CCTTGTTAATGTTGAATTTAATTATTATATCGTTAATTGTAAAAATGATAATGAGTAGCTAAATTTGTTAGGGCATGAATTGAGTAAAGGAATATGGATTGACTTGTTGACCTAAAATTAGGGGGTAAAATTAATAAATTGGACTAGTTGTTTAAAATGATGAAATAGTAATTAATAATAGTTAGCCATTTTCATTAATTAAATTCTTGGAAAATTAATTCTAACTTGTCTATGAGATTAGAAATTAATTTAAGCCAACCATATTTGAGCACATTAATAAGGCCTAGAAATAGGATAATTTAATGAAAAGGATTTACATCTTGTCTATGAGAAATAAATTCAATTGCTAAAATAAAGAGTTTAACTAGTTAATGAATTTGGCTATTTTTATTAATTAAAATATTGGAAAATTATTTCTACCTTGTCTATGGGTTTAGAATATAATTTAAGCCAACCATTTTAAACACATTAATGATACCTAGAAATAGGATAAATTAATGAAGATAGTTTCTATTCTTGTCTATGAGGAAAGAAATTATTAGTCCAACTTTAGTCTTAATTTCCCTAATTAAGAGGTCCAAGAACATATCCATTTCTAATTACTCAATTCATTGCCCTTATTTGCATCCTTGAATAATCAGTCTTTATACATTAATCTTTAAATTGCACCTTGCTCCTAGTTATAATTTAGCATAATAAAGAACAAAAACACTTTCCTATATTGAAAAGGCTTCCAACGATTAGCGATAGCCCGTGACTAAAATTAAATTAAGAAACTTCTCCGCCATTCCTCAAGAGACACGACACTCGGGGAAAAACCGAAAGGTTAGACTCCGTTTTACTACAACGCCGCGAAAGCGGTTATCAGGGGGAGACAACAAATCATCAGGCCCCGACTCTACGACTTGTGCAGAAGGCCCTACTAGGAATTGCACTGCTTGAAGCTCGGCACCCGTAGCCTTCGACTTCACCTCCAGGGCCGCAATATTCAAATAGGAATGACCCTCGGGTATTCCGACGGGTTGGCCCCTGTCAGCAGCAACCTGCTTCTTCTTGGGGGCTGCCTTCAGTTTCTTCTTCTTCTTACCCGGGGCCACCCTGAGAGGTTTCGGGTTAAGGGTCCGGGAGCTTCCGGCCTCGGCATCATTACGAGGGGGCGGAACAGCGATAGTAACCTTCATCCGCTCCTTCTCATCTTCCTCCTCGGCAACTTGGACGGCGAGGGCTAACTCCTCGTCTTCAACCACTTGCTCAAAGTCTTCGGCCTCCAATTCGGTCCGAAAATTATTCTGAACCTCCTCAGCCACCAAAGAATCGTGATTGGCCGAGGCCTCCTTCGAGATATTCTGGGAATCACTAGCAGAAGGCATCCTTTGGGTTTTCTTTCGAGGGTATGAGGAAGAAGGGAATTCTAGGGCTCTAAGGTCGCTAACACTAGATCAGAGAAGGAGTAAGCAAAATGTTCTAAAGAACTCAAGAAGGGAGGAAGAACTGACCTCACAAAACCGGTTTCAATCAAACTACGTTTTCTCTCTCTAGAAATAAATTGCCAGAGCTTCGCTTCAACTCAAACGCACAAGCAAATGGCTTGGGAGAAAGGGGTATTTATAGGGCCCCCAACCAGGGTTAGCCTCGAAACTGGGCCTCGGGTTAAAAGCCCATCATTACAGGCCGCAGTTTCGGCCAATGGGTGGCACCCGACCACTTTCAGCCAAGAGGAACATGCCACGTGGGCCCCACGTCCAACAGTAACATTCCAATGGCTATATTTGGGGACAACAAGGTGGCTTCAGCTGGCACCCTTCGAGTACCGTGTACCTTCGAACTGCAGCAGCAAAGCCTTCGGCCCAACACATGCTGTCACAACCCCTCATCCGGATGTGCCCTCGGGTCAATACGTCGCAGTAAAACTCCTTCAGCCCGAAATTGCCTTCAGCCTAAAGGAGTGGGGGACTGGGAGAACTCCTCGGGGGAAACACTGAACTAAAATTCACACAAGCTAAAAAGCTACAATTGACACATGTGGCCTTCGGGCAAAACAATAAACACAACCCCTCGGGTGATAATCAATATACCCTTCGGCAAAAACACAAATTTGCCAAGAAACTACACAAATGTACCAAGGGTGACAAAGCGGCCTTCATCACAACACATACCGGCAGCTCATTAGTGTTTCTCCTCTGAAAACCCTCAGCCCCCGACATGTAGGGGACTGAGGGAATGCCCTCGGCAAACACCAGAGAACAAGTGATCAAAGGAAGGAATTTCCCACAAACAGAAGCCTTCGGCAGAACCAACACATCAACGCAATTACTCCTTTTCCCTCAAGTACCTTTCGGCAAAAGGAGTGGGGGACTCCTGATGGAGTATATGGCCCAGGGACCCCCGGCCCACGGACTCCTACTTCTCCTACACAAGCCCATCAAGCCCAATGTGCACACAAAGCCCTAATATGGCGGCCCAAGTACGGAGAAGCCCACGGTGCACATACGGACGCCTTCGGCCCAATAGCCGAGGGCTCCAAATTCCACAAGGCAGCTTCATTTGAGCGTACAACGCTGCTGGGAGAAAAAGGCAGAAAATAGGAGCCTTCGGCTCCTAGACGCCTTCGGCACATGTGTAGACCCTTCGGCTACACAGAGCCTTCGGCCACAGAGGAGCCTTCGGCTATAGGGAAGATTCCCTTTGGGGACAGGCAACCACCGCATTTAATGCGGCGTCACGTCCAACCACCGCATTTAATGTGGTGCACATGCATATGCCGGTGCCACCCCGATTGAGGTGACCCTCGGCCGCTCGATTATTGACACGCGTATTCATATCGCATTTATGGCTGCTATAAATAGCAGCCCCTTTCCCCTTGTAAACGATCCCAACATCTCGAGTTCATTTAATTTATCTGACTCTCTCTCTCTTACTTGCTTGCTCTGACTTCTCTCTAGGTTATTCCCCGCAATAACCCCTCGGATAAGCTATCCCCCGGGTACACTATCCATCAACAACCTAAATTAATTTGAATCTAAAAATACTTGATATGAAAAATAAATAATCACAAAAAAATCTTATAATAAACAAACAAGACTATTAAGATCTATTATGAACTTTTATTCATACACTATAGTTAATACTTCTATTATTCATATATCCACACAATGAAAATAGAAAAATATCACCTTTTAGTAATTGTGGGACAAATAATAGATAAAGAGGCCGCTTGGCAACACAGTTTTTCGGCTTATCAGGATTATCGACCAATTTTTTCACCAAACACGTAACATTTGCTTTCACGCGCTGAATTGTGTAATAAGCATAAAAAGTAAGGTTAAAGTTACTTTTCTGGCTGTATTGGCTGAAGTAACTATAGATGACCAATTTAACTATTTTTACATATAATTTTTTATTTATTTTATTAATAAAATATATTTTAAAACTAATTTTTTCTTAAATCAACAAAATCAGCCAATACAGTCACTTCAGCTACAACTTCATAAATTTGAGCAAAATCAACCAAATCAGCCGATTTTCGTGCTATCAAACGGGCTCAAAATGTAATAAAAATATACCCAAAACTAAACGAGACGGGTATGAAGTGGGGAATGGGGAGGGCATGTATAAAACCGTAACCGTCCCGTTACCCATAGAAACCAAACGGGTATTCCCCACCCGGTACCCATTACCCGATCAATGCGGTTTCTCCCATCTTGATCGGGAAGGTTCGGTGCGGGTATTCATCGGATTGGTCACAATTGCCATCCCTACCCCTTAGTAGTACCGTAGTAATCTCTAAATATACTACGTATCATTTTAAAAAGAAATAGTAATAGAATAGTACAAAAAGGTATAAAAAAATCAGCTTGTAGTAAACAAGCTTTAACTCTTTAAGTGTTTTGCCACTTTTAAGTTTTAACCTCCAATTATTATTATTTTGTGAATAACACTTTTGATACTTGACATGCGTACATAGGGATGGACTCGGGCCGGGCCAACCGGCCCGGAATCGGACCGGCCCGCTACCGTGCGGGCCCAGACAGGCCCGGTGAACCGGTTTGTGCCTGGTTCGGGCCACCCGGCCCGGTGGTATAGCAGTCCGGGCCCGGGCCTCCAGTTTAGTGAACCAGCCCGGTTTGAAATTTTTTTAAGTTTTGGGTTGGATTAAGTATTTTGGGCCATTTGAGGTGGTTTGGGGTGGTTTGGGGTAGAGGGGGAGGGGTAGGGGTTAAAAAAGAGAAGAAAAAAAAATTAAAAATCCGAGTGGCCCGACCCGGCCCGGTCTAGCCCGGAACCGGACCCGAAACCGCCCACTACCGGTTCGGGCTTGGGCCTCATTTTTCTGAACCGAGGCCTGGCCGGGCCCAGGCCCGAACCGGTCCACCCCTATGCGTACAAAGGTGTTTTGGCACTTAACTTTAACATTTTCTACTTTTAATTTTTTTAGTCATCGTGAAAGTGACATTTTAACATTCCAATAATCATCATACCCACACTTGTTGATCATACACCGATTTTGGCAAAATAATAGTGCAGGGGACTAAAATAATAATGGAAAAAATTAAAACGGGCATCAAAACTGTATCTTTCAAAATAGTCGAATGACTAAATGTGCCGTTATTACAAAGTAGTTGGAATGAAAAGTGTCAACACACAAAGTTTAATCATGTATTGTTACACAAGTAGAACGTTCAAAATGGGACTGAGCTAATATTTTTGTTGTAACATTAGAGGACACAAATCTCCATTTCCATGAGCGGAGCTAGGGGTGGACCAACATAAGTCCTGGCTCACCCCAAATTTTAAAAATGGCTTAATTTTTTAAGGTAAAAAATTTCGTGCAACTTTTTTTCTAAAAATATTCTTTGTACCTGATTAGTGCTCTGGCTCCGCCCATGTCCATTTCCCCATGAGGATTTATATAGCAATTGTACGCACGTACTTTTGACTCCATTGGGAAAGATTTGACAGTGATCCAAGAAAACAAAAATTTAATTTATATGAGAAGATATGGCATATCTAGATATTAAAACCGGTAATAACTAAATAAAAAATATAAAAAATTGATGAAGGGATGTTCTGGCAAGTACATTTACTTGTAAAAGCAAAGAGAAATCGCCCATTTCCTCTTTTTAGGACACTGCTTATCATGCAACAGCATGAAGAGAAAATAATGTTTTGTATACAGTGTAACACACGAAGACACAACTACAGAAAAAGAGAGTTCGCAACCAGCTATGATATAAAGTTGAGTATTCTTATGTGATGACCGTTGGCTTCTCTCTTCCGGTAAATTCTTTCAACTTTGATATTGACAGGGCAAGATCTGAAAAATGATAATTTTATACTCAGAAACAGAATTTGTTAAAAATCAAAGCAGAAATCATAAATTGGCCTCACCTATCAATGGTTTCAGAGCAGTTTGGGCATCCACATCGTGCTTAGACGCATCAGGCTCGAATTTTTCAATGTACATTCTCACTGTAGCACCAGCGGACCCAGTACCCTGCAAGTTATATATACTTAATTTATTTCCTATAGATAGCGTTGAAGAGTTTGTCCACACCCATTACATATAAAATGATAACATTTAAGAGTTGTCAACCAACATATAAAATTTTGGGTTACTCTTCGGGTTTGATCATCTAAGATAGAACTTCAAGTCTTAATAGTTATCAACTGCATAGCTAAGGTATTGATTTCAAGCACTACAACAAGAAATGGCACAAAAATATATAAGAGAGCGATGCAGACCGATAGTCTAAAGATGATCCTTGACCCATCTGTGAACACCAGTCGCACTCCCTGCTTTGATGCAACACTTCCATCTACCTGCAAGAAAAGTGTATCATTTGAGTTAGCTAACCAAGAAAATTACTACACGTAGTAGTTTAAGATAAACACTACTCTGCTAATTTTCAGAAACTTACAGGATCGATATAAGAAAAGTCATCGGCAAAATTGAGGGTATAATTTCCTATACATAAAAATGTTGTATACATGAGAAAACATCAAACACGAGGGTAGTTCATTTGCCAAAAGTGTGAAGCAAACTAACCATACTTATCACCAGCCTTGCTTGTCGCAATTAGATCTCTCAGATATGTAATCATCAAATTGGCTCCTTGAGATTCACATTCCTGACCACAAATGTTCCACAGTAAAATTTATCACACTTGGAGACACAAGTCAACTATTTCATTGATTTCAAATACTATACATAGTTGCAGAATAACAGGATTGTAATCGGAACCGGACATCAAGATAAAATATGCTTGCCTCATAATCGTATCTAGAAAAGAAATTTCTCCCATAAGTTGCCCAATGATCCTTGACAACATCACCTACAGAAACTAATGTATCCCCTGCTTTCTTTTCCTTGTTCTTGTATGCTATTATTGAAAGCCAAGCTAAAACAGCCCTGTCATTTGGCAAGACTGTAAGTGAGAAAAGAAACATTTCCACCAACAGAGGAAATTATGTATAATCAGGTGAAGATGATATTATGGACCACAAGTATAAGATCTACAGTAAACATTTTTTTTTATTAATTCAAGGATATTTTACTGAACAGTACATCAACTTTCATCGTATTAACAAAAAAGCCAAGAGCTTTAACCCTTAATGAAAATTACATGAGATTTTGAAATGTTAATTTAAAGTTTCATCCGTCTATTTTTCCCAGGGGCCCTATCTTAGTGGAACCGGAGATTTTGGGTCTAAAATCACGAAACGATTGCTTCGCCCAAAGTGAAACGGACGTTGCAGAAGAATTTTTGCAGAATTTTAGTGACATTTTATAGCAGAAGAACTCTTCAACTCTATTGAGATCTATTAAACCTTAACCTTAGTATTTCCCTAGTTACTATTAACTCTATTGGGAATTTTCAGATTTCACTCACTCAGATGTCAAGCCTGAGATGGCAGAAAAGGGTAAAGTTATTACTGTTGACAGTTTTTGTGCCATTGTGCAATTTGCAAGTGGCGTGAAACCAATTTGCCCTCCGTCATATGTCAGAATTTGAAATAGTAAAGCCTAGGAAGAAGTTTCAAGGGGGGGTCTGAATTAGTCTTACGTTTTCTGGGTTACAAGAGGATTACAGTTAACCCATAAGAAAACTCTTGTTAAAAATAAGCATGGAATCCCCAGCTCATACACTGATGCTACTTAGGGACTGATAAAACATGGATGGATAATGAATATTGAAAAGCACGGTTGCTTTGTTTGGTTCTACAATGGAGTGCAAGGTTTTGCTCCACGGTCTGAGTTTGGACTAGATCCTGGCACTGAAATTAACTCAATGTATCGTGTTGAACAAGTTGTGAAGTGCAGAGTTGTCAGTTCTAACCCTGCAGCAAGACGAATCAACCTCAGTTTTACGACAAGACAAATGAGGTTGTCCGAGAATGAATTGGTTAAACTGGGAAATGTCGTCTCTGGAACCATTGATCTAGTTACTCCTGATGCTCAAATTTGTTTGAAAGGAAATGTCGTCTCTGGAACCATTGATCCAGTTACTCCTGATGCTCAAATTTGTTTGAAAGGAATGACTCTTCCAGAACATTTATACGATCCTCGAACCTTGCTGGGTCAATGAAGTATATTTTGAAGCCTGGTTTTAAATTTGACCAGCTTTTGGTTCTTGATGTTGAAGGTTGCAATTTGGTACTTTCTGCCAACTTGCCAAGTACTCACTAATCAGCACGTCTCAGCATCTTCCCCGGGATGTGGTCCATGGGCACAATTGTAACATAATTGAAAGTGGTGTGTCGGTTCGCTATCTAGGGTGTTTGGCTGGATTTTCTCCCAGAAGCAGGGCTACAGATGACAGGAGATCTGAAACCTCTTATGTAGTCTACATTTGGACAATCAGTTCATATGAACATACTTGATGTTAATGATGAATCTAGTTGAATAACAGTGTCTTTGCAGCAGTCATTATGCTCTCCAACTGATGTTTCAATCAGATTCTGGACTGAGATGGGATGCTGAGTTTTCTCTTGGTAGCATTGTTGAGGGAAAAGTCATGAAATAAAGGAGTTTGGTGTTCTTGTCACTTTTAAGAATCATGGTGATGTTTTTGGATTTATTTCAGAATACCAGTTGGGTGGAATCAATGTGGATCTAGGACTCTTCTATTCAGGCTGCTGTAATTGATGTTTCCAAGATAGAGCACCTTGTGGATTTATCTTTAAAGTCAGAAATCCATCTTAATATTATAACAAAAGGATTCTTGGAATGGAAGTTGCCGCCAAAACCCAGTCGATCATTCCTTAGCGTAAACTTTCTTGGTTTGTATAATTTCTCACGGAATACTCCAGAAAGAATTCATCTCAGGATAATTAATATGGATACTTAGTGCTATGTAATCCATTCTTTTCCGGTTTGGTTTCTCGAGGCATTTTTTCAACCTTTTCCTATTCCACCAAAGTAGTGTGTATTATGAGTGCCGAGAGCCCCTAGAGATAAGAATTGGATTAAAGTTTTGGCCATGAACATTCCAGACTACCTAATATTTAATTCGTATTTAATAGCTCCAATATTTTTTTATTCATTGAACGCTTCGATTCAAACAAACACCACATGTTGCTATGGGTGGACGTAGGGCTTTAGTTCTCCGGCTACGCCATATGTAAATGGTATGAGGTGCTCTTTGTCTACACGAAATCTAAACTCGCCATTGATGTCAATGACAGTGAAGTCTCTTGAAGATTTGAACTTTCACCGTTACCCTACAATCCGATTCTGCATATTCAAAGGTAAGAAAGTAAGTGTTATTTTTAATCCCATAATTTCCCCCTCAGTTTATGTCAAAGACTAATAGGGATCTAACAACAGTTTAGATATCTATTATAATATATAGAGTAATACAGAGTAGTTTAGATTCTTGCATACCAAGTTGCTGTCAAAACAGGCCCAACCTAGGCATAAAATGGACAAGAGTTGTACGAATCTAGCAACTGTTTAGATATTGATATCAATATTAATGCTTAAAGACGAGATGATAACTCAAACAAGTAAATCAAGTTGGGTAGTATTCTTTCACTAATAATTTAATGGTCAAAGAGTTCTGATTTCATACATTTCTAATCCTGCAGGCCGGCCTGAGAATGGTTGAAGTATCTTGCTCTATAGGAACTTTTTTGTGTTCTCTGAAGTAAACTTGCTGAACAGAATTCAAGCTATGAATATGATTTTGCTTTATAAACTGAAATGGCTTAGAGACATGGTCAATAGTTTTGCTATATACTACAATGTATATTTATAGTATTACTCCATCTCTTTTTAATCGCAACATGTTGACTTTTTGCACTGTTCACATGATCTACTTTGACTACATTTTACACTATTATTTTATGAAAATTATTTTTAAAAAAATATATTTTTCAATTCATCTCATTACAAATTTTCAAAATCTGATTTTTAATATTTTTTTTATTAATAGAGATTAAGATATACTTACGGTCAAATGTGTGCGTTGGCAAATGTGCAAAGGTTGACTGTTGCAACTAAAAAAGAACGGAGTATATATCAAGCTATGAGTATGTTGTTTGAAAATTGTAGTCTATGAAGACATACCCTCTCATAGTCTCATAAACGGATATACACACCCAAGTCCCCAAGTAATTATATACGGAGTATAACATGGTATAAATTTCCCTATAAAAAAGTTTAACCCAGAAGCTAAAAGTAATTCAAAACAAAGCTTCATGTATAATATTATTAAAGATTGAATTTTCATTTATAGTTCTCTTTATAATAAAGATACTTCTAATGCTTAAAAATAGTTGGGTGGCATTCTTTTTAATAGGTGTCCTATCGTATTATCAACACAGATTCCGTAATTATTTTTTTTTGCACAGATTGCATAAAAAAATATAATTTGTGGACAACACAGATAGCATAAAAAAATGGAAGATAATTTTGCACAAAGGTGGACCCTTAAAACTATAAAAAACAGACACAGAAAAGGGGCTTAGAAAAGGTATACAAGCACATATAAATTGACAACTTGAACTTTTTCATTGGATTTAAACTTCAACTGATAGACCTTAAGTTTTCATTGCTGCCTTGCTAGAACGGATTGGTGTCGTCTTGGTGCACTTAATTGAGTAACCTGTTAGGGACTTGGTATAAATGAGATGCAACCGCTACTGGAGAAGGGTGATCAGAAGCGTGATAGGTGTTTGATTTGTCAAAGGGGTGTTTGGTATACTACATGTGAAATGGATATATAAATGAGAGGCAACTGCCACTAGAGTGAACCTTACTTATTTTGATTTGTATACTTTTCAGTGAACCAAATTAAAAATTAAATGTTTAATAGTTTGCAGATTTAATATTATGCATCGATTAAATATTTTAACTGTGCAAAGCACGGGTGAGAATACTAGTTGTTAATAGTATCAAAGTTTGTTGGATGAACTGAACACTCTTTGTGAAGCTGTTCAACGAACAGTCTATACCTGTATTTCTCCTCTGAGGCAATCCACACAGGACGATGGACAAGCTCTTATCTCTAGGCTTCTAGATAAACTTATGAGTGACAAAATGCCTCTGCTCCTGCTGTGGAGGAAGTAATAAAGGTTCAAGTAATGAAGCTCATGGTCCAGCACTGGGAAGGCACAAGGACGAAGCTGATTCTCAGGGCTGTTTCCTACCACCCACCAGGACAAGGTGGTTGTCAAAGGGGGGGTGATGACAGGGTCACAGGGACCCGGGCAGAATAGTGCTATTATAAATAATAATAATAATATTAATAATAATAATAATAATAATATGAAAGAGTAGTTTCAATACTTTTTGGCTTGGGAATATGATGGATTTAAGCAAAATGGCTCATTAAATTGTCTGTGTTTTTCTATTATGAAGGCATGAAGCAATAGTCAGTCCATGCAATTTTCGACGCGATTTTCACTATGGGTCATCCGGAAACAGTCTCTCTGTGCAGGGGTGAGACTGCGTACATCCGACCCCCCCTACCCCATCGTAGGTGGGAGCCTTTGCGGCACTGAGGTAATGATCAATTGATCATGAATAATAATGTGAAAGAGTAGTATAAATATGAGCTGAGTGAAGAATATAGGTAGGCGGAAATTCAGTTGGAATTTGGGCCAGGAGAGAAACCTCTCGAATAGTCTCAACTCTGTTACTTTTCTTTCTCTCTATTTCCGCCATTGTTGTTCTAGTAATTCGGATAATTCATCGGACTTCCTAATTAATATACTAATTATCAGCTGTGTTTGTTGAGTTCCTAACAGCACTGACCCTAACTATATGGACACAAACTAATTATATGTATTTTTAGCACTAATAATAGTACTAGCTTATGCATACCCAACAGCATACTCCTAAACTATCACCTAATATTCCATTCTGCACAAACACACATACCATATTCCATCTTTCTCCCGAATGTGGTCAGAACCTGTCCCAAAACTTTCTTCCCCACAAACTGATAAGTTTCCTGAGTCCATCAGATTAGCAAAAAATTTCCAACCAGTTGGGACCTGAAAAAACATATCCAATTTAGAATATAGCGTATAATTACCATAAACAGTCGTACAGAGTCACATTCCACTAGTTTACTACACGGTCTTAACCTCATAAAATGGAAGATTTAGCTTTTCCGCAACACGATCCAAAGCACCACTAGTGGGCATAGAGCGAGCCAATCCCTAAAATTGTGTGTAAACAATTCAATAAGTAACACGTTTAAAAGAGAAACAACCAAATAAAAAAAATTGCGAATGTGTGATGCTGACCTTGAGACCACTTTTGAAGTACGGAATGGCCTCTTTTGCATTAGCAGCAATAATAGCAACAGAATCTGAAGGAGTGACAAAAAATGCCCTACCAAGAACCATGTTTCTGTCACCATCACCTGAAAGATTATTAAAAAAAGCTTCCAACTCAAATTACTGATCAACCAATGATCACTTAACTACCTTCTGGAAGTAAATATTGTGGATAGCTTCCCTTTCATATGTTTGCTGCTTTATCATTCTTATTTCCATGAGAAGTAAAACATAACAAACTAGACTTATTTGCCTTAGCAATGCCTAAGATGTAGCCAACACACATGACCAGCCCTAGCTCAAACACAAAAGAAGATTATTGCCACATATCTTCACCGCACATTCACACAAGTATAAACAATGTTTGAAAAATCGGGATATATCTATGGATATCTCATCAATTGACAAATCAATATGAAAACAGAAGGTGAAAGGCGTTTCTTTCCAAGTATTCAGAATATTTATGAAAACATTTGTGAATATCAGTAACCATATCTCTATCTATTGTTTGTAGAGCAAAAATTCAAATGCCTTGGAAAAGTCTGGACATTTTCATATAATATCTGATAAGTATCTATACAAATTTCGTAATTCTCACTGAAATATTGAGAAAAAAAAGATTACATGTGATAATTTTTTTATTCTATTACTATACAAGTGCATATAACTAAATCAGATTTTCTCCAATATGATGAGTTGGCATCAATACCATTTGCATAAATGTGATACTCCCATTCATAGAAAAAAAATTGAACCTTTGAAAACCTTGGTGTTGTATTAGATAATTTTACTTTGAAATTGGTCAATGACATATTTCTTGTGTTTGTGGAAGAGATATTTCATTTACTATGTACACATCAATTTACATAAACTGTGTTTTTAGTAAGAATTCCATCATTTGTTAAAACATTACAGTAGATATATCCATGATTTAAAGGTGCCAGTATATATTAATTTATGGATATTGATACTTGCATTCTTGAGTATGACATAACGATTTTAACTTTATACAATTAGTATTAATTGTGTGATTATAAAATCCTTAAGATATTGTAAGCTACCATCACTTGCAGCACCGAAATCAGGCCCATCCTTGCTATACATTATGTTGACCAAATCCTTGGCGTAACTATCCCAACAACATAAGCATGTTAGAAATTCATTATAATGATTATAAAAGCATCTAAGAAAGTTAAGTTTCTTACGTAAGATTAGGGTCTGGATGACCATCTCCAAAATTCTCAAGTGGCACACCATTAGCAATAGATTCCTACGCGGTAGAACACAGCTCATATTTTGCAATCAAAAGCTCTAAATATCAATAGAAAATTGTATAATTGCTTCACATACCAGACCAGCTCCTAGCATGTCAACAAAAATAGGTTTGGCATAAGCACCAGTAACCGCATGCATGGCATCAAAGACAAACCTGCACGGAACATTGAATATTTCATTATCCTGTATATTTGCAAGTCATGTTGTCATGATATATTAGACTTCAAAAGTTTATCGCAACCCCCCCACACACACAAAAAGCCCAAAAAAAACATAGACAAAGTGCTAGCGCTTAATGTTTAGCAATCCAAACCGTAGGGATTATACCCCTAGGGTCTATCCCATAACACTTAATTTGCCCCAGACCAGACCAGACCAGTTCAGACCAGACCAGACTTGGATAGTTATAAAAATACAAAGAAACCAGACCTTACCAGACCAGACCAGCAAATTACAGTCCAAGTAAAAACATCCTTAGTGTTCGCTACTTTTCTAAATAACCAGTATATTATTAGTCTTAAGAAATAAAAAAATCATTCCCAATGCGTACAATTTTATTAAAATTGAAGGGCTAGAAGTTTCATAGCCTAAAGTTATTTGGTCTCATTCGAGTACCACTAAAATCATTTTTATTGTGTGGTTGGCAATGAAAACCGGTTAAAACAAAGGACATAACCATGTATGTTGAGATTGACAGAAGGTGCAGCTTTTGTTGTGACTTCACCAAGAACATTTTGACTGAAATTAAATGCTGGGTAGGTATTGATCGGGAAGTCAAAAATTTAAAGAAAAGACTGTCACCTAGTGGATCTGGAAAAACAGAGGGGGTTTTCTAGGGCAGATATGATGGCTTTCACTTGTGCTATGCGTAATATTTTTGGACAAGTTGTAACAAGTGGGTGTTTGAGAATTGGAAACCCCTCTCGCTACAGTTGTTCAGGTAACCAAGACACACATTTACACAGTTATGTTTCACCATTTCAATATCTCAGTGAGGGATGGAGCAACCAATATGTGAATGGCCACTAAGCGAGTGTTCTATGTTTATTTTTGGATCTCAGCTATACATGGTGTAAATTGTTGGCCGACCTTTTGGTCAATACTCAATATACATTTTTATTTTGATCACACAAAAAAAAGAATGAGGTTGTAAGTCAAGATGTTATATTAATGGTAGAAAGAACTAGAGAAAGCAATCTGAATTTAGTTTATTCGTACTGTCTCATATAAGGAGAAGTTTACCGAATATATAGCTAGAGAATAAGGGATATTTAGAGATCTCTAAGATATCTCCTCATAAATACACAATCGGGTGAATATTTAGAATAATCTACACAGTTGGGTGATGGATATCATCCATGCACAGCTTGCTAGATAAGTCTTCAAACTGAATTCTTGGAAGTGCCTTGGTGAGTATATCAGCTATTTGTTGCCTGGTTGGAACATAGCTCAACTGGATGTCCTTTGTTGCAATCTTCTCTGATAAGAATCGTCTATCTATCTCAATATGCTTGGTCTTGTCATGATGGGCATGATTTTTAGCAATACTGATAGTAGACTGGTTATCACATGAAATCGGATGGAGCCTTCAAATGGAAGTTTGAGCTCATTCATCAGCCTTCTTAACCATAATCCTTCACAGATTCCTTATGCTAAAGCTCTAAGTTCAGACTCTGCACTACTTTTAGAGACCACTGATTGTTTTTTGCTCCTCCAGGTAACTAAGTTACCCCATACATAAGTATGGTAACCAGTAGTTGACCTGTCTAAGAGGCTTCCAGTCCAGCTAGTATCTGTAAACACTTCAATCTTCCTTGCCCTCTGTTTTTGAAACAACAATCCTTTTCTAGGAGTCATTTTCATATACCTCAGAATTCTATAGACTGCAGTTAGATGTTCCTCAGTTGGGTCATTCATGAATTGACTCACCACACTAACTGAGAAAGCAATGTCTAGCCGTGTGTGAGATAGGTAAATTAGTTTCCCTACCAGCCTTTGATATCTACCCTTATCAACAGGTGGACTGTCATTCTCACTACCCAACTTCTTTGATATATCTATAGGAATGTCCATAGGCTTGCACCCAAGCATTCCAGTTTCACGTAGCAAGTATAAGACATAATTCCTTTGTGAAATGAAAATGCCTTTCTTAGATCTTGCCACTTCCATGCCCAGGAAGTACTTCAACTCGCCTAGCTCCTTGATCTCAAACTTTCTTGCCAGATGATCCTTCAATTTCTCCAATCCAACCTTGTAATCCCTAGTCATAATAATATCTTCAAAATAGACTATAAGAATAGCCATTTCACCAGCCCTCTTTACAAATAGTGTGTGGTCTGCTTGACATTGCATGAACCCTTGTATAAGAACTGATCTTGTAAATCTATCAAACTATGTTCTAGGAGACTGTTTTAGCCCGTACAAGGACTTCCTCTGTCTGCAAACCTAGCCAGATTTCAACAAGTCTTCTAACCCTGGTGGTACATCCATGAAAATTTCCTCTTCAAGATCTCCATTAAGGAAGGCATTCTTAAAATCAAGTTAATGTAATGGCCAGTATAAGTTCACTGCAACTGATAGCAACACTTTAATGGTGTTCAACTTTGCCACTGATGCAAATGTCTCTGAATAATCAATGTCATAAGCTTGGGTGAACCCCTTAGCAACCAGCCCCTTCAGCCTTTCAATCTTTCCATCAGCCTGATATTTAACGGTAAATACCCATTCTTCTTCAATGCCGCTAATTCATCATAGACAGCCTTCCTCCATCCGGGATGTTCAAGGGCTTCTTTGATGTTGCTAGGAACCTGAATACTATCAATCTTTGAAATAAAGCTTGATAGTTTGCTGACACTCTGGCAGTTTCTTATAACAAACAAAGTTATAGATAGGGTGTTTTGTACACTCCCTTACTCCCTTTCTGATAGCAATAGGCAAGTCTTGTTCCTCCTCATCTCCTTTTATAGCCTCAACCTCTTCTTCATTCGGACTCGGATTTGAGTCAGATGATTGGATGGTGTTAATTGGAATAATGTGCTCTTCTTTTGGAACTTTGGTTCTAGGTTTCCTCTTGTAGGTATTCTTGTAGAATGGGGAATATGGATTTAATGTAGGGGTTTGAGGTGATGGTGGCTGAAATGGTGAGGTTGAGGGGGAGGTTGTATTCAGGTCTTTCTGAAAGTATGGGTTCAGTGTGGATTAAGTTAGATTCTTGGAGGTCTGAAATAGTGTTTGAAATAGTATTCAAAGTATGGATTTCACTGTGATTCTCCCCCTGAAATTCAGCTTTGGGATAGAAAGGTTGATTTTAAAAAAAGGTAACATCCATTGTGATGTAGACCTTTTTGGTAGTAGGTGAATAACATTATATTCTTTCTGGTTGGCGGCATATCCTATGAACAGACAAGGTAAGGATTTGGGATCCAACTTTGACCTGAGTGGAGAATGGTTGTGAACAAATGCTTTGCAACCAAAAACCGTTGGTGGGAGATTAGTAAGAGGAAGTGAGGATGTAGATTAGATAAGATTTGATATGGTGTTTTAAATTGGTGAATTTTGGAGGTCATCCTATTTATCAAGTAAGCAGCAGTCAGGACAGCCTCTCCTTAGTAGTGTTTAGGAGTGTGAGTGGTGAACATAAAGGCTCTAGCAACTTCCAGTAAGTGTCTACTCTTCCTTTCTGCTACCCCATTATGTTGTGGGGTGTCAACACAGGAGCTAATGTGTATAATCCCCTTTTTGGACAGAAACTCTCCTAAATAGGATGAGAAATACTCTTTGGCATTGTCAGTTTTAAAAACTCGAATCTTGGTCTGAAACTGGGTTTTGATCATAGAATAGAATTTCAGAAAGATAATATTGACTTCTGACTTTTCTTTCATAAGGAAGACCCAATTGACTGGGATAACTGTGAGATTTTTAAAATGAGATTTTTAAAACAGTTGACTGTGATATTTTTAATCTACAAACCACCTTGGAACAGTGAGATTTTTAACTTTGGATGGGCCCCAAACATCACTCTGAATGAGAGAAATGGTTTGGATGGTTTGTAGGGTAGGCTGGGATAGTGGTTCCTAGTATGTTTAACAAGTTGACAAATTTCACAATCAAAAGCAGAACTTTTATTAATGAATAATGAAGGAAATAACTTTCCTAAGTACAAGACATTAGGATGACCAAGGCGATAACGCCACAACTGAATTTGATTATCAAATTGACTCCTGGTAAGATTGCCTAAGAACTTATGGTTGAATTGACCCTCACTGGAAGTTGTCTTGTTGGTAGAGGTTGGTGAATGTGGTGAATGTTCCAGAAGATAGAGTCCACCACTTTGCTTAGCATTGCCAATCATCCTCCATGAATCCAAATCCTGAAAATTCACATAATTGAGAAGAGAATTTAGTCAGGCAATGTGCATCATTGTTCAGTTTGCTAACTGATAAGAGGTTAAACTTTAAATCTGGGACATATAACATATTGTTAAGCACTATCTTATTAGAAATCTTCACTCTGTCAGTCCCTTTTATTGCTGAAGTAGTTCCATCAGCAATCTTCACAGTTACTTTATTCTTCAAAGGTATTAATTCAGCAAAAACCTTACTCTCTCCAGTCATGTGATCTGATGCCCCTGAATCAACAATCCAATAAGGCTGACTTTGTGCAACTAGGGTTGTTAAGGCATTACCTGTCTGAGCAGTCAGACTAGTTGGTGGTGTGGGCCCTTTGCTCTGACTTATTAGGTGTTGAAGGACCTCAATCTACTCATTGGTAAATGCAGAAGGATTAGATGTGCTCTTTTCTTCCTTATCTCCAGTAGCTACATAGGCTTCTTTCCCTTTGCTTGATTTGAAATCTTTAGGTTTACCATGCAAATTCCAGCATGTTTCATTGGTATGGCCTGATTTCTTACAGTGATCACACAATGGCCTCCCCTTTTTCTTGTTTTTATTCTGTCTGGAAGAGGTATACAATGCTGACCCTTCAATGCTTTGTTGTTGGCCTTGATAGTTTGGACCCATCATTACCTTCTTCTGACTTCTGAGAAAGCTTCTCTAAGTGTGAGAAGAGGTTTCTTTCCCATTATTCTGCCCCTAACCTCATCTAGACTTTTGTCCAAGCCTAGTAGAAATTTGAACACTCTCTTTCTCTCACAGATCTCCTGATATAGCTTTTTATCCTTAGAAAATGACCACGTGTATGTCTCAAACACATCAAGATGCTGCCAGAGTCTCACAAGGTTGTTGAAGTATTGAGTTACACTCAATTCTCCCTGCTGAAGGTTATGTAGCAATGATTCAACCTCAGAAGTATTATCTGAGGTTGAGTAGGTTTCTTTCACAGACTCCTAAATCTCTTGACCTGTTTTGTATAGTAGGAAATTTTCCCCTATACTGGTTGTCATGGAATTGATGAGTCATGACATCACAATATAGTTCTCTTTCTTCCATTTCTTGTAGCCTGGATCTCCTTGATCCGCAGCAAGTGCATCACGTGTCAGATAGTCCTTCTTGTCTTTTCCACACACATACATCATTACTGATTGGTACCATTGAAGATAATTACTGCCATTGAGTTTATGGCAGGTAATAATGGAATCTGGTTGATTAGGAGTGGTGACTGCGCTCCCATTGACATTCTGGTTGCTCCCATTGATACCATGTAGAAAGAACTAGAGAAAGCAATCTGAATTTAGTTTATTCGTACTGTCTAATACAAGGAGAAGTTTACAGAATATACAGCTAGAGAAGTAGAACAAATAAGGAAGGAATCTTAATAATTAAGGTTTCCTAAGTGTTAAACCCGGGGTTCCATCCTAAAAGGTCAACCTGATAGGAGGAGGAGTCCAAAGTCTTATATAGTGTTTAATTGTTTTATAGCTTTCTGGTGTGGGACAAATGCTTTAACACCCCCCTTAGCTCGAACCGGGTGGACAATATCGGGGTATATAAACGGGCCAAACAAGCCCTTAATAAGCTACTCTTAATCATGGGTGCTAAACAAGCCGTCAAACCATAATCGGAATTGGCTCTGATACCATGTTAAGACCCGAGGTTCCATCCTAAAAGGTCAACCTGATAGGAGGAGGAGTCCAAAGCCTTTATAGGCTTTATATAGTGTTTAATTGTTTCATAGTTTTCCGGTGTGGGACAAATGCTTTAACACTAAGAATAAGGGATATTTAGAGATTTTGAGTCTCTAAGATATCTCCTCACAAATACACAATCGGGTGAATATTTAGAATAATCTACATTAATAAAGTTGAAATATATTATTTGAATGGTATATGAGCTAGATGTTCTAGTTGCATCTCCCTTGTTCCTACTGAAGTTTTCAGTGATGAACAGTACCCCATGAAGGGCTCTTCTTTATTTTGTCCCTTTTCTGGCAGATAACACTAACTGCACGAGCTTGCACCAATACAAATTTCCTAACCTCTCCCATTACCGATCTCCAGAGGAGTTTGCAGTTGCCACCACAGCACCTACCTCCGCTGGCGCCTAAGACCATCGCTGACAAGGGTTTCTGACGATATTCTGTATATTTGTTTATGTCCCTCTGATGACATCCCTGTGGTGGAAGATTAATAATTTTCTTGCAAGTTGCAACTTTGGCTTTCCATAATATTTGAGAAATGTTTCTAAGTTCTAACAAATATGGAAATGGAAAAAGGAAAGAGAAAAATGTGAATAAAGAGAGAAAACATCAAGTTTTCAGTAATGCTCAAGATAAGGATGCTCGAGTGTACATTTCAAGCTAAGTCAACTTCATGAGAGGGCAAGTTTTGTACATGAGAAGTCCAAGTTTAATGTTTTGTAACAAGCACATAGCATATGATTCTCTAACTTGAGGGAGTGTTAAAGTATTAAAGTAGTTTCATGGATATCCTAGGGTCATGCCCATTGTCTTTAGGGCCCGTTATTTTCCTATATAGGCACCGTCTTAGCTTTGAAAACAATCACTGATTGCAAGTAAAAAAGTCTAATGAATTAAACTAGTAATTCATTATTCAAAAGCATTCAAACGTTCAGATGAAATACAAATGCACAGACAACGTATACCTGAAATTTGATTTAGAAAGAAGACCTCTAATGAGTGAAAAGTCAAACAATTCCTGCAAATAATTCAACACTTCAATCGTCCATGACACCTTTGGTCGTAAAAATTGTTTTTTACTAAGTACTCACCTGCATTAGCTCCAAATAGTCACCAACTGGGTCAACCACTTCAACACTAAAATCTCCATATCTACTAATTCCAAGTTGAGAGAGATCAACATCAGGAATGTCAGCCACCTTGATTTCAGAAATCTGTATAACATTTGAAAGCATATAAAAAAGTTCAGAAGCGCGGAAATATTTTAAATGAAAAAATCCATAATCATAAAAAAGCAAAGGTCACTGAAGTTAGTGTTAGACAGAAAAAATGTTGGTGGTAAGAAAAGCACGTGGATGTAACTTGGAACCTACAGAAAGCGTGTTTCCATAAATTTTGTCGGTAATGGACTCTGGTGCTGGTTGGCCACTGCTGTAATTGAACTGCAAGATCAATATTAGATATGTATAACAAGCTTAGATATTCCATTCCCGTTAGCAGAGGTTATAACAAGTGCAATTTGATTGGCTATTCTACAAGACAGACTACATCATATCATGATGTAAAGTGATATTGACATAATGAGCTGATTTAAGTGCGAAATGCCCTTCGAGATAAAGAAATCATAATTAGAAAAAAGAGATCAAATTTGAACTATTGGAGCTCTACCTTGATGCCCCAATCATATTCAGGTCCACCAGGATTATGACTTGCACTCATTACAAAGCCACCATTAGCCTGTTCAATCATTTCGTGCCAGGGTCATGATGCAATACAATTTTCAATTATTAATTATCTATTGTTAGTAGAAATGGCACACATGGGTTTAGCACATAATATTATATCGAGTGTACTGGAAAGTATGGGCGACATGATTATAGCACATGTGTAGAGCTGTGACAGCATGTGCTAAAGCTGAGAGCCTGTGACAGCATACGTCATGTTAAGAAAAGATGTAGCAGTGAGTATGCTGCACTACAAGGTGTATATGTAGGTGTCAGCAAAGATAAGAGGCGTTTCCTATGTATGTGAAGTGAGTGTAGTAACTAGTACGTAAAATAAAAGAGTGTTATTGTGTTGTGTTATTCTGAATTTCTGATCTTCAGCATGAGATCAGATATTTCTATCCTGATGACCATGGTTACTATTCTGCGTTAAAGATTTGGATAAATGAAATGAATAACTTTGTAAAAGCATAAAAAAAATCTTATAAATGCATAAAATCCAAAAGATGCAGGAAACAGAGAAAATAAAATGTTAGTGTATGTGCTCTGTTCATTACTTTTCTACATTAAATGGAAAATCAGAAAAAGAGAAAAAAGTACTCTGTGCAGACAAAAAATGTTTGTGTTTCCAAGAGAACATCAAATAAGAATTTGAGTATTCCAAAGGTATTGAAGGATGCGAGGGAGAAATGGCGTCAAAAACCAGACGTTTTACAGGTGTTCAAGTGAAGCTTTTCAAGTTCACAGAGAAGTTGAAGTCTATGAGTGTTCAAAAGTATTGAAATTATTAAGAAAGGTGTTCTATAGAAAAAGATGCATAAGAGAGTTATAAGAATTATTACTTTAATATTGTCTTCTGTAGTTGTGTAACAAACTCAAAGCATACATACAAAAGAGCGTGTTTAACAGAAATTAATAAGCATAACAGAAAATATCAAATAGAAGAGAATGCTGCCTTTCTCTTTCGTATCACAGCAGAGACAGCTGGGGTAGACATTATACCATCCCTGCATGACAAAAGGTTGAATTCACCAAGTCACACAACAAATGCATAACTTACTGATAAGAGAAACAGTTAGAAAATAGATGTATGGTAAAACTACAAACAAATAATAAGGGTTGTGAAGCAGAAAGGGTCAGGGGTTCTAGAATGCCTTAACATCTTCACATCATGTTAAGATGTTATTTGATGTATACAGCTTAACAAAGAACTGTTGTAGTCAGTAAACAAATTCTTTAGCCAAATAAGGGAACACTAAATTATGTAATAGTAGGGCTTGTGTGAGAACGAATCACAGATCTTAAAATTGATAAGTTTTACACTAGCGGTGAAGTGATATATTTTAGACTAGTAATAGAGTTTATTGTAAAGATTATACATTTAACACTGAAAGTGATATATTTCACAAACAAGGTGAAATGTTATACGCCTTTTCAGTCCTATACAAGCATTTTACATAGGGAAATGCATTTGCAAAAAAAAATCATCGTATGTGATCAAACCCAATACATACACCTAGGGTACACATCGCCCAGTTGTCCAACCCACACAGCTTGGGCAAGACAGTTGCTGATACTACCCTGAAGTGGAAGGGAGTCGGCAGACAAAATGTCAGCAAAGTAGGTCTTTAGTCGATATAAATGCAGCTGCATATTGCTTCTTCACCACTCTCACAGAAAAATGAGAGTCAATGTTAATGTGCTTTATCCTCATGGGAAACACTGGTTAACGTAAAGATAGATGTTATCGCACAAGCACGCGGGAAATGAAACCGGGAGACAATCCACCACTTCTTACTGGTTCATGTCAGCAAATTCCTCCCCATGAAAACAGCTACACCCGTTTGAAACCTCATATTGTTTGGGCCACCAACCCAATCAGAACCTATAAAAATGCAAGCCCATATAAGAACAGGGAGAGATCACAAGCCACAATCTATCGTGGCCTTGACATAGCATATCATCCTCTTGAGAGCCTGCCAATAAGCAACCTTCAGGGAATGCGTGAAGTTCACCAGGGCACCCACGAGACTCCAGTAAGTTTTAAGATCGTCAAATAGATTGGCTTACTTAGCCAAAAGACCATGAGCTGGTGAAATGGAGGTACGGACATTGCTACATGTGAACATATTTGCTCAAACAAGAATTACTGAACTTAGTGTTTCTGAGAAAGAAGAAGACCAAAGCCGATATGGATACCCCCAAATGCCAAGAAATAGCACTCAACCGTCCATGATCCCAAATCTTGAAGTTTGACGCCAAACAAAGTAGAAAAGGATCAAGAAAGGTAGTAACACAAGTAGAACAATAGAAAAGCCGCTCTAAAGAGTTGAATCCAAAAGAAAGAAGATAGACAAACCATCATGTGTAAGCTGTTTTACCATAGTTAGATTTGGCATTAAGTATATTGGTGAGAATAATTTAGTGAAAATTTTAGGACAAGAGGAATTGGAGTTAAAAGTTTTACCACCTTCTAACCAAGATAAATTTCTTGGTTCATTTACTTTTCAGTTTTCACATACACCTTACTTGAACCACCATCATGAAAGTCAAAACAAGATTCATACTTGTTATGTTATTGTCTTCACTCATAAATACACAAAACTGCCTATTAAATTATTCCACATCAGTTGTGTATAAAAATATAAAGTACCATATAAAGCATTGGGCTAGTCTCCTATCATGTTGATATTTTAGGATGGAACCCGATACTTAATATGGTATTAGAGCCAATGAAGTTCCAACAAACAATTAGATCTTGGTAAGCCTCAATAACGAGCACACAAACTACAAGATAAGTCTGCTCCAACGAGCCACCATCTTGCGGGGGCATATTAAGCTATTCCACAATGGTTGTGTATAAAAATACAAGGGAAAAATACAAACTAACATAAAAGGCATTGGGTTACTTTTCCTATCAATTTTTTAGGATGGAAGCCAAAGTTAATATTCTTTTAGAATTGCGTGCAGGTCAATTATCCCGTTGCCTAAATCATAGACTTTTTGCTAAACATTTATTTCTAGTAGGTTGGTAACTTTTAAAACTGGAAAATCTTCAAACGTCTATTCATCTTATCTAGACTTTTACCTCCATAGGTACCTTCAGGATAGAGCAAGTAGCGTGTGAATCATGGTCGGTTTGATCACAAAGCTGAAAGTTTCTAACAACTCCTCCCCCTTTTGCAACCAGCCATGACTAAACTCATTGACTCATTCACAATCAACTTGGTAGCGTTCAATATTGCCATCAGCCAAGTGATTGAGTGATTCTATTAGAATTTCCATTTACACCTAATAATGTTCATAGCCAATATGACTAAAATGACTTGAAGGAAAATGTCATGATTTGTCTTAACTCACATGAGCACATGTGAAGCCATCATAAGGCATAGTGTCATGGCCCTAGACAATATTGTAAGGCATGACAAAAATAAGTAATCGTTGAGATGTTTGAGACAATTGTACCAAACAGAGGTGATGCTACGGTCATTGGGAGAGAAACATGCGCCCGGTAGGCGTGGACCCTCAAGTATAATTTTCTTGGAGATGGTGACATTCACAACAAAGAAAGCGGGGTAAATTTTAAAGATAGCAGTATTGTTAGATGAACAACGAATTGGAACTCGAGAAATTGCCAGACATGACACATCATCAATTTGATGGTTATGTCCACTAGCTTGTGGCTGATCATTCCCAATAAATTGACTTACAAAGTAAAGAGCTGTACAAGACCATTACAGAGTGAAACTGGTCGACTATGATCTCCCGAAGCCATCACCCCTTCCACAATAACTCTGAACGCAACCATAGCCATTGTTTGTCCACAAAAAGTTTTGTTTCGGGCTCCATGTTCTGTACAAGACCATTACAGACTGAAACTGGTCGACTATGATCTCCCGAAGCCATCACCCCTTCCAAAATAACTCTGACCGCAACCATAGCCATTGTATGTCCACAGAAAGTTTTGTTTCGTGCTCCATGTTCATTCCCATTGATGCAAATCATGCAATGATACAGCCATGCTGAGAAACGTGTAAAGTGGATTCCTTGTCAAATTGATCATTACCATCCAAGTTGTCAATGCTAAATTCATGAGTCTTGAGAAAATTCATGAACTCATCTAACAAGACAGGATAACACGTGTTATCAAAGAAGAAATAGTTGAGTGGTAATCCTCGCGCAAGCCAAGAAATACAAATAAATTCTGATACTAAGACCAAATGGCCAATTAGGTCCTTGAGCTTGACAAGGGTGGACGTATGATACAAGGATTGAGGCTGTGTTCACAAACAGAGAGAGTGGACACAAGAAGTGGTTGCCAAGGCAGTCTCAACGGACTGTCAAATCTGACGGGACAAAATCTGCCTAACTGCCAGATACAAAATGTCCTCAGACAAGGAGATCAAGATACACATAATGGCTCGATCTTGTTGAACCCATTAAAGCAAATGTGAGATTCAACTTGGGCAATATCGCATATGAATGTGTATATCCAACCAGTCAACATTACTAGAATAAATGAGGCATGAAGGTGTGTATGCATGTGTGTATCCCTACACAATTCGTATGTGACAAAAGCCTATAACATGTTGAAGATGGAGTCTTGTTTTGTTTTTCGGAGCAGTTACCCGACCGGGTAAGTAGGAGTTACCCGACCGGGTATGTTGAAGCAGAGACCTGGGAACTCACTGGAACGTGAGACCCGACCGGGTCAGGAGAGGCACCCGACCGGGTCAGTGATGGTTTATAGCTTCTGTTTTGGATACCCGCCCTGGTATCGACCCGGGCATGAATTCTGTGAAGAGACCCGACCGGGTCAAGGGGGGCACCCGACCGGGTCTACGGGAATTTTAATTACTGGCTTGATTTTAATTAGGGTCTGCGGCTCTAATCTCTGATTAGGTTTTCTTAAACCTATTTAAACGACTCTTATGTACTTGTAAACCTCTTGGGACGCTGATAATAATACATCCTCTCTCTCGTTCGCCGTGGACTAGCACAATCAACCCGATTGTGTGAACCACGTAAATTCTTGTGTTCTTGCTCTTAATTTATCGTTTATCTTTGCCTAATCGTAACAATTGGTATCAGAGCTATGGCTGGCGAAGGGAAGGTTAAGATCGATAAATTTGATGGTCAAGATTTCGCTTTCGGGAAGATGCAGATCGAGGATTATCTCTACCAGAAAAAGCTTCATCTACCCTTGTCTGAGAACAAACCAGAGACGATGGCGGAGGCGGAGTGGAACTTGTTGGACCGACAGGCTCTTGGTGTGGTGAGGTTGTCGTTGGCGAAAAACGTTGCTTACAACATCGTCAACGAGAAGACAACGTTTGGACTGCTCAAGGCGTTATCCAATATGTACGAGAAACCCTCAGCTGCCAACAAGGTTTTCTTAATCAGACAGTTGGTGAACACAAGGATGAAGGAAGGTGCATCCGTGACAGATCACATCAACGAGTTTAATTCAATCATATCCAGGTTAGGCTTGGTTGAGATTAAATTCGATGATGAAGTTCAAGCGTTACTTTTGTTATCATCTTTGCCCGATAGTTGGTCCGGTACAGTCACAGCGGTTAGTAGTTCATCTGGAACCACTAAGCTTACCTTTGAAGGTATTCGTGACTTAATCCTTGGTGAGGATATCCGGAGGAGGAGCTCGGGGGATAGCTCCAACAGTTTGTTGAGTACTGAAGATAGGGGCAGAAAATCCACTAGAGGGGGTAACAAGAAGGGAAGATCAAAGTCGAGGAAGAGAGGTCAATCCAAGAATAGGAAGGACATCAATTTTTGGAATTGCAAAGAGAATGGACACTTCAGAAATCAGTGCCCAAAAGCCTCTACAGACAAAGGCAAGAAGGAGGTGAACGTGGGAGAGGATTATGAAGATGTTCTAATTTGCAGCGTTCAGAATTCAATTGAGTCCTGGATCATGGATTCAGGTGCGTCGTTTCATGCTTGTCATTGCAGGGATTTGATGAAAAATTTCAGGCCCTACAACGGAAGAGTTCGTTTGGCGGATGACAAATCTCTGGAGATCACGGGTATTGGGGATGTTGATCTCAGTACCACTTTGGGTACAACCTAGAGGTTGAAAGATGTGAGGTATATTCCAGACCTGAAGAAGATGTTGATCTCAGTGGGACAGCTTGATGAGGAAGGCCATAACGTTAGTTTTGGCAACAAGCAATGGAAGGTGACAAAGGGAAAGCTGGTCATTGCTCGTGGACAGAAGCATGGTACACTGTACATGGTTGAAGTGTCCACAGATGGAGCAAACACAGCAGTTGAAGATACAGGAGTCTCTACTTTGTGGCATCAAAGACTTGGGCACATAAGTGAGAACGGAATGAAGATGCTGTCTTCAAAGGGCAAATCCCAGATTTGAAGAATTCAAAGTTGAGCTTTTGTGAGCCATGTGTTCTAGGCAAGCAAAAGAGAGTAACCTTTGTGAAGACGGGACAACAACCCAAGACTGAGCGGCTGGAGTTGATTCATTCAGATGTCTACGGACCTACATAGGTCTCTTCGATTGGAGGTTCCCGGTACTATGTTACATTCATTGATGACTCTACACGGAAGGTATGGGTTTATTTTCTTAAGAATAAATCTGATGTCTTTAACAATTTTAAGAAGTTCAAGGCTGCAGTTGAGAATGAAACAAATCTCAAGATTAAGTGTTTAAAGAGTGATAATGGGGGTGAGTACAGTAGCACAGAGTTTGTAGAGTATTGTGCTGAACAGGGGATCAGAATGCTGAAGACGGTTCCAGAAACACCACAGCAAAATGGTGTTGCAGAGAGGATGAACAGAACACTGAATGAGAGGGCCAGGAGCATGAGATTGCATGCAGGACTTCCAAAGATGTTCTGGGCCGATGCGGTGAACACAGCAGCATACTTGATCAACAGAGGACCCTCATCTCCCATAGGTTTCAAAATTCCAGAAGAGGAATGGAAAGGTCGAGAGGTATCTCTTACTCACTTGAAAGTTTTTGGTTGTATTTCTTATGTCAAAGTTAGAGATGCAGATAGTGACAAGCTCGAGGCAAAGGCAAAGAAGTGTATCTTTATTGGGTACGGGATGGATGACATGGGCTACAGGTTCTGGGACAACCACAGCAAGAAGGTTATCAGAAGTAGAGATGTCACTTTCAACGAGAATGCCCTGTATAAAGATGGTCTTGCAGCTGAAACTAGCAAGGTCAAGCAACCAGAAAACAAGCAACAAGTGGTGTTTGACGGGATGACTGAAGACGACATAGCACAACCTGCTGGTTGTGATGAGATGAATGGAGGCTCAGGGAGCAGTGGGAGCTCAGGAGATACAAGAATGTCTGAGATAGTGGGAGTGATGAAGATGGTGGGAGTTCAGAGGCAGCTACTCCACACATTAGACAGTCCACTAGAATCAGAAGACCTCCTAACAGATATTCTTCTTCAGCAAATTACCTATTGCTGACCGAGAATGGAGAGCCAGAATCTTACTCAGAGGCGTTGACCATGAAAGATTCCATAAAGTGGAAGAAGGCCATGGAAGATGAGTTAGATTCACTTGACAAGAACCAAACTTGGTCCTTGGTCAAGCTACCACCGGGAAAGAAAGCTTTGGAGAACAATTGGGTGTTCAGAATCAAAGATGAAGCAGATGGAAGCAAAAGATACAAGGCGAGGTTAGTTGTCAAAGGGTTCCAACAGAAGAAGGGAGTTGATTACAATGAAATCTTCTCTCCGGTTGTGAAGATGACTACTATCAGGTTGATCCTTGGTATCGTTGCTGCTGAAAATTTGCATTTGGAGCAGCTGGATGTAAAGACTGCCTTTCTTCATGGCAACCTTGAAGAAGACATTTACATGGCTCAACCAGTAGGTTTCCCAGTGAGTGGTAAGGAGAAGTTGGTGTGCAAACTCAAGAAGAGTCTATACGGACTGAAGCAAGCTCCTAGACAGTGGTACTTGAAGTTTGACAGTTTTATGCAGCGGAATGGGTACACTAAATGCAAGATGGACCATTGCTGTTACTTGAAGAAACTCGAATCATCATACATTATTCTTCTTTTGTATGTTGATGACATGTTGGTGGCTGGAGCAAACATGCAGGAGATCAACAAGCTCAAGAAGAAGTTGTCCGAAGAATTTGAGATGAAGGATTTAGGGGAGGCGAGACAGATTCTTGGGATGAGCATAGTCAGAGACAAGGTGGAAGGTACTTTAAAGCTTTCACAGCAGAAGTACATTCAGAAAGTCCTTGAGAAGTTCAAAATGATGGATGCCAAACCAAGGAGTACACCGTTAGGGAGTCAGCTGAAACTCTCCAAGCAGCAGTCTCCAAAGACCAATGAAGACAAAGAAATGGCTAAAGTTCCTTATGCATCAGCCGTTGGCAGCTTGATGTACGCGATGGTGTCAACAAGGCCGGACATTGCTCATGCAGTGGGAGTTGTTAGCAGGTTCATGTCAAATCCAGAGAAGGAACATTGGGAAGGAGTTAAGTGGCTGTTACACTACTTGAAAGGTACTTCTGAAACTGCCCTATGTTTCAGGAAGAATGGCTTAATTCTAGAAGGATTTGCCGATGCTGATTTGGGAGGCTGTCATGATTCCGGTAAGAGCACTACGGGTTACATATTCACTATTGGAGGTACGGCAATCAGTTGGATGTCTAGACTACAGAAGAGCGTAGCTCTTTCAACCACAGAAGCAGAATATATGGTCATTGCTGAAGTGGCCAAAGTGTTGATCTGGTTGAAGAACTTTCTTTCAGAGTTGGGCATGAAGCAGGGAGATTGCGGTCTATATTGTGACAACCAGAGTGCTATTCATCTCGCGAAGAATCCGGTGTTTCACAGCAGAACGAAACACATCAAGATGCGGTATCATTTCATTCGAGAATTGATTGAAGATGGTACTATAAGTTTGAAGAAGATCCTTGGTACGAAGAATCCAGCAGACATGCTTACCAAGGCGGTGACAACGGAGAAGTTGAAGCTATGCATGGCTTCAACGGGCCTTCCAGAGAGAGAGAGAGAGATCAGGGTTTTACAGAAGATACATGTTCTTGGATGGCAGATGATTGTTGACCAAGCCTCCAAGTGGGAGATTGTTGAAGATGGAGTCTTGTTTTGTTTTTCGGAGCAGTTACCCGACCGGGTAAGTAGGAGTTACCCGACCGGGTATGTTGAAGTAGAGACCTGGGAACTCACTGGAACGTGAGACACGACCGGGTCAGGAGAGGCACCCGACCGGGTCAGTGATGGTTTATAGCTTCTGTTTTGGATACCCGCCCTGGTATCGACCCGGGCATGAATTCTGTGAAGAGACCCGACCGGGTCAAGGGGGGCACCCGACCGGGTCTACGGGAATTTTAGTTACGGGCTTGATTTTAATTAGGGCCTGCGGCTCTAATCTCTGATTAGGTTTTCTTAAACCTACTTAACCGACTCTTATGTACTTGTAAACCTCTTGGGACGCTGATAATAATACATCCTCTCTCTCGTTCGCCGTGGACTAGCACAATCAACCCGATTGTGTGAACCACGTAAATTCTTGTGTTCTTGCTCTTAATTTATCGTTTATCTTTGTCTAATCGTAACATAACATACACCTTGAGCACAGAAGGCCCAGTCCGCGAACCCACATGGCTTGGACACTACAGATACTACAGTTCTGATACTACATGAGAAGACGATTCAATATATAAAACCAGTTGATTGAATAGAACTATAGAAGTACACGGAGTCACTAACATTAGTTACTGGAATTGATTCCATTACTTTAAAACCCCATAGTATACCAGAAAGACTAAAACACGTCAACAGACTCACTTGCCAACCATAATTTGACCAACCCCATTGCCAGCAGCAACTTTAATTATTATCTGAAATTTAAAACTAAACTGCATCAGAAGATAGCAACATAAAAATATGTGAGCTATTTAGCAAATGAAAGTACAGTATCAGCTTCTCTATTCCCCGTTAGGCCATCAATACCTGTGCAGCTTCACGATTAAAATATCGACCATCACCTCCAAGAATCAACAATTTGTCCTTATAATCCTCCGGCGACAGTGAATTAAACAATGCCTTTTCATATCAAAATATTATAATCCAGTTATTAGCATGTAAAGATTGGATCTTTCTCAATTCAGTATAGCATACAGTTCAAACCAACGAACCTGAATCCAGTTTGCAAGGTAATTATCCTGCATGAAAACTTTAGTCTGCACACAAATTGAAAGAGTGAAACAACTAACAATCAGATACTGAAAATATACGGCAATGAAACAGGAACTAGAATTCAAAGTTCAGACATTTAAGAGCGATCGCGCTGATATTAAAAAAAAATCCTACCTTTTTACGAAGGCCACTAGTTCCAGTCTTCTGTCCTTGTATTGGTTTTGTCGGTACCGAATTGATCTGCAATTTGACAATTAAACTTGTAAGTAGTTAAACCAACAGGCATACGTGCGCACATACATACACAAATACCTTGAGAGCTTGAGATTCAGTGATGGTAGCGGAAGGAGATGTTGAGAAAGTAGAAGGAGAAGAAGAAGCAGCAGCGATTACAGGACCCAAGGCCGCAGTGGAAGTTCTTAAAGAAGAGATATAGGAAGGGGAGTTGAAGGAGGAAAGATAGTGGAGTGGGCGACGGAGAGTTGCAGCATTTCTGGCGGAAGAGAAATGGGTCGAAACGGAAATGGATGCCGGGTCTACACGGGAACAGAACGACGCCATGGGAGCTGAGCTGAGCTGAGGCTGTGAGACTTTGGAAGAGTGAGTAATGATCGATCGATCGCGTACAGTAATCGCTCACTCACTAATCAATGATGAGTGTGTCCACACACCTTGTTTCCATCCGTTTGTTTTAGGTAGGGACCATCCATGGATATTATCAATTTGGTCCCCTTGACGACACAGACAAGTTGGAGTAGGGGTAGGCTGCAGGGGTGGTGGGGTGGTAAGAGTCACGGCCTACTTGGATCGAGTGTTAGCGGGTATTAATAAAGGAAGGGTTAGCGAGGATGTGTTAATGAGTGTTTGATGGTGTTATTCATAACTTTCAAACATCTATATCTATCACTTTTTAAACATCCCAAATTCAAATTGGGATGTAATAACAACCTTTACCCTCTTCATACGCCCTCCAACGTATGTTCCACTCTATTATTCTTCCGCACCAAAGATTCAGATTTGTTCCCCATCTCCACCTCTTGCGGCTAATCTTCCAGCAGAGTCTGTTCTCCTCCTCCCTGGGTTCTCTTCTGCAATATTGAGTTCTTCTTTAGCTATCTATGATTTCTTCCGTATAATGCTATCTTTTTCATCTTTGTCGAGTTGTGTTATCTTTTTTCTTCTTCTTTTCTCAAATATTTATACCCCACAAAAATTATAATTCTAAAAAACAATTAACTAATCAATTCTAATCAACAGGAAGAACAAGTCATTTTTGCTGCTCTATCTTAATTCTAAAAGATATAGCCTTGAACGCTATATTTTTTCACACCCAACTTGACTGGAATGTTGGGGAGTTCACAGTTTCTCATGGGGTTATTTGCTACTTGATGATTTGAACTTCTTTTACTCATATTTTTTGGTCTGATATATATCCCTTATTTTGAAGGAATCTAGATTTGAAATTAAAAGTGGTGGCTTAAACCATATGAGGATATTTTTAACAATTTAAGGGAAAGCACTTCCATTGCTAACACTTTGTTTTTTTAACTCTGCCAAACAAGATAGAATTATGTTTAACACTTACACTTATCTTCTCCTCTGGGGCTCTGCCAACACTTACTAATACTTCCATCACTAACGCTTCCTGACATTCCATCCAAACAGCCATAAGGGTTGGGTTGGGCTGGGCGTATAGGGGTTGGAGGTGGGGGTAGATGGGGGAAGGGGGTGAGGGCAACAAGTTTTTTTTTTATAAAAATGGGTCGAAAATGGTCGAGTATTTTGAAAATATCCTTTTTTAAATTAATTTAATTCCATTTTTTGTTCTACGGGGTTTATGTCATTTTTACATCTAATCCACGTCTTTCACTTTGTCCATTTTTTGTACTTGACTAATGTTTCTTGACCTTTTGTTGTCCTACTCCGACGCTTTAAACCACCGGAATATTGGCGGAAGGACCATATATGGGCGAATCAAAATAGTCATGTACCAAAAGTTGTCAAAATAAAAAACGTAGACCAATTGTGGAATTGGTGCGATACTCATAGGATCAAAAGTGAAATTTATTCTTCCTTCTTTTACATAATTAAAACCTGTGAAATTACACAAGGACCCTTAATAATTACAACCACAAAGTAGAAGTGAAAACCAACAGTTGTTTGGGATTTCAAAAAAGGGAAAAGGTACAAATATACCCTTGTAGTATGGATGTGAGAACAAATATACTCTTGTTCTATTTTTTGGAACATATATACCCCTGAAGTATATGTTGAAGTGCATATATACCCCTTAACTTTTAAAAAGTGCAAAAATGTCTCTCATATTCTTATAAAGGAGCAAATTTACCCTTATAAAGTGTAATCGCCTCATTGTTGGGATCCGTTTCGTATACTACATTTGAGTTTTCAACAGGTTTGGATTACAGGTCAAATTTCTGCAGAACGATCACAGGTTCAACTCGAGGACTATAAACTCAAAATCTAAGTTTGAGCATACTTCTCGATCCGGCTTCTCGAGACTCGAGTTCAAGTCTATCTTCTCAAGACTAGAGTTCGAGCTTATCTTCTCGAGCTCATCTTCTTGAGCAAAACAAAATCGAATTCACTTTGTCCTGAAATTTTGTAAGTCCACAGGTGTTCGAGATCTTACTCGAAGTCAAAGCTCGAGTACAAAGTAAAACTTCGAGAGTCCTACTCCTCAAAATCCCAAAGTCCGAACTAAAGCTCGAGGTCCCTAAGTTCATGATCTCAAAAGCTCGAGGTTGTGAAGTTTGAAGTCTAAGCTCAAGGTCGTAGGGCGAAGACAAAGATCGACGCCCTACTTTCAAATTTCATTTTCATTTACCCCAGTGCCGCAAAGGCCTCCCACCTACGGTGGGGTAAGGGGGTCGGATGTACGCTGTCTTACCCCTATACTAAAGCACAGCGAGACTGTTTCCAGATGACCCGTAGTAAAAATCGCGTCCAAAAAATGAGCCATTTTTTGCAGACAGTTTAATGAGCCATTCTGCTTTATTCTAACATATTCTCAAGTCAAAAAATAATGAATTTTTGGCTCCATTGCAAATGATGGAAAGTTCTTGGAGATTAGTCTGCAAAAAATATAGCTCGAATAAAGAAATATCTTGAGACATATCAAAGGGAAGAGACTACTCAGAAAAGCACCAATTGACTTACCTAGAAAGTAGAAACCCAAGAAGGCCCTCAATGACTAAGCCAAACTGAGGTATAGCATACCTATTAGGCAGCATTATTAGTTTATGCACTTGTTCCAGCCTAATACTGGACTTAAATTGTTATGATTTTAAAAAAAAAATTGAAATGATTTTAAATAAAATACGTTATAGGAATTTTAAAAAAGAGATTTTTTTAGCATCCATTGATTTTTCTCCTTTCTCCTGACTTGCTAGCGTCCTTTGTGTGTTCTAACTTTTAAGATATAAAGTCATTAATTGAGCATTTTTCTTGATTCGATTTGAGTTGTTTTTAAGTATATACGAAGTATTTTAGAACTTAATGTAGCTAATTGACACTTTGGGCCAATAATAAAATGTCCCCTAGTATGCTAGTGTAACGTTCTCTTTAACCCTGAGAGGGGCGTTACAGGCCCTTCCCGATGGAATTTTTTGATGAATTGTTTTTAGCATGTTCTTCATCAAGTCTAGTATAAACATACCAAATTTCATCTCAAAATTCGATCGGGAAGGCAGGCTAATAAATTCTTGAAATGTATGGCGCATTCTTTCTTTGTCGACACTTCGATTCCAATTCAGCGATTCCAAACAGGCAGAACAAAGTCGGAAAACATTGAAGCCAGCTCGCTCAGGCTAGCACAAAGGACAATCGGTACGTCATCGAAGCTGAGATAACATACGCTATATTAGACGGGAGCAATGAGACGGAACTTAAACGAAAAAATAAATTCCTCTCAAAGTGTACATGTTTTGAAAAGCAATGCACCACCTCATAAAACTAAACGATTACACCAACATTTTTTTCATTCCTAAAATATCATTACCCTCATTGAAGGTTATAAGATTTAAGATAATATTGTTTAAGATCCCATAATAAACTAAGTGAGTTCCATAGCCTAGTGGCCGAAGTGCTACGCGCTACTTTACTATATCCAGGTTTGAATCCTCCTGGCCACTTTAGTGTAGTTTTATTTCTTTTTGAAACTATATAGTATTGGGGTTTTGTCATAAATATTACTAAAAAATAAGCAATGGACAAAAAAGAAACCTTTCTTTTTAAATTCCAAAGAAGTGACTAAGAAACATGTTCTTTACTAATTTGCCCTCCTTATCTTTCGCTGCACCGTAGGTCCACAGCTAACTAAAAATGCAGTCCGTAAGATACCATCATACCAAGTCCGTAGCAATGCACCCTAACAAGATCTTTTTTTTAATATTTAATATGATTCCGTAGCGATGCACTCTAACAAGATTTTTTATATATATGTAATACGAAGTATGATCCATGCAATCTCTAACAATACACCAGTGACAAATGTTTGTTATTGAGTCGATGAAAATTAATGTTTTTTATTTTAATATTATTTCTGAAGATAAATATTAAGATATGAAAATTATGTGAAAATGTTCTAATGACCAACACCTCAGTTACTACCGCTCTCTTAGTGACCATCGTCTCAGTTACTATTATTGCTTCAGTGACATCGTCTCAGTTACTAACGCTCCAAGGACTATCGTCGTCCCAGTTACTACCGTTTTAGTAACCATCATCTCACTTACTATTTTTGCTTCAGTGACATCGTCTTAGTTACTATCGCTCCAGTGACTATCGCTGTGTCATCTTATTAATATCAATTATTTGCCACTAGTTACAATTACCCACCTCACAAATTATAGTTATGTGTCGTCGGTTACAATTACATTCGCTAGTGACAAAAAACAATTCATAACCCATTAGTGACCATAAAATCCGTCCAGTGACCAATGTTCGCTCATCCAGTGACCAACATCCACTCGTCTAGCGACAGTTACCTGATCTGCCCAGTTACAATTACTCGACTCGTTGCGACGGGACAACTACAATCTCTCTCCTCATCAAGGTACAATTACCCAAACCGTCCAATTAGAGTTACTCATCTCATCCAATTACAATTACAGTTACCCGTCTCGTCCAGTTACAATTACTCAACCCGTCCAGTTACAGTTACCCGATCCCGTCCAGTTACTGTTATCGCTTTCATCCGCTTAGAGTTACCCAACCCATTCAGTTACATATACTCGACCCGCTCTTACAGTTAAAATTATCGGGTTCGACCGTTTACAATTATCCAGGTTCGATAATAATTACCGCTGGCGGCTGGCCAACACCACCCCCGCCGCTGGCGATCGCCACCGACTGCCATCGCCGGCGTCCACCACTGCTAGCTACACCCACCTTCAGCCACCGCCAGCAACCGCCGCCACCAAAACTACACCACAACCCCCTCCCCTCCCCAACCCTTTCCCTGCGTCACCCCAGCCCCCTGCGTCACTACAGCCCCCTCCCCTGACACACCCAACCCCCTGCCCCTCTGGCACCACCACGCCCCAGCCCCCATGCCCTCCCTTCTACTGCCAGTCAAGTTACTGCCACCCGCCCCTCCTGGCAACCGTCATCGTCGCTGCCCGCCCCTATTCCCGACTCCCCTCCCAGCGTCCACCATCCTAGATC